TCCAAGTCTCCACAAGATGATTTTGACTTGGGAAACCATGGCAACATTCCAAGCACAGTTGCTTCATTATTTAGCCAGGACGATCACAGATTACCACAGACTGAGTTCTGCTTGTAAGGGTCAGGAGCCCAAGGTAGTGACTTTTTCTGGATCCCAGAACTGTGAGAGTTTCAGTGGTGTGTTGGCTGGCTGGAGTGATGGACAACTTGTGGGCCATCAACACAATCATGCACCATCCAGTTAAGGGATGGTGGGCAGGCTGCAGATATTGTCGATGGTAAATGTAGACCCAGCATGGGACGGAGGCCGGCAGCCTCTGCTGTCTCTGAACTGGAAGTGTAGGCAGCTACACAGACTTGGATTCGAGAACGAGGGCCACAGCAGGTAGGATGTAGGCAAGGAAGAGGCTGCAAGGATTTTCTTGATCCCTAGCACTCTCTGAGGCAACATGGGTACACTGGCAGCCCTTGCTTTCCTTAACTACAGGCTTCCCATTGTTAACATCTCACCACTCACCCAATGTGGGATCTGGACGTCTCTGGGAAGGTTGGAATGGTTTGACTAAAGGCAGCCCAGTTTGATCACCTCTGTCGACTGCCTTATGAATGCTGCTGGGTTGCTAGCTATCAGTGTTGGGAAGCTGCCTGTTGCCTGTCGTGGTGAAAATGTGCCGTGGAAGTGATGGACTGGTTCCCCTGCCAGCATCCCTGCCCCACCTCCAAACATTGCTAGGAATAGGAGATCAATGGAACCCATGATGCTGGGAAAACTTTGGCCAGTATCTGTCTCCTGACCCTTGTCTCAAAGGTTAATGCAGTTGCTGTGACAGCTGAAAACACTTAATCATAGAAGCATAGAATCCTTACAGTGTGGAAAGAGGCTTTTTGGCCCATCATTCTGCAATGACTCTCTGAAAAGCATCCCACCCAGACCCATCCTCTTCCCATATCCCCGCATTAACCATGGATAATCCACCTAACCTGCACACCATGGAGCAATTTATAGCATGGTCATTCCATCTAATCTGCACATCCTTGGACTGTGGGAGGAAGCAGGAGCACCCAGAGGAAACCCATGTAGACATGGGGAGAACATGCAAACTCCATCCAGACAGTCAGACAAGGCTGGAATCGAATCTGATCCCTGGCACTGTGAGGCAGCAGTACTAACCCCTGAGCCACTGTGTTTCCCCTAACTTAACATCACCTCAGGGTGAAAACAATCTGTTATTGCGACTGATGTTCCATCTGAGTTTGATTCCCCTCTAAATAAATGAGGTAGGCAGAAGCTGGAATTGCCAGCACACTTACTGTAGCTCAATAAATAATGAAGGGTTAGTTGCGCTTGTTAAAAGCTCTATCATCTCCAAAATTATACCACCCACACCGACATACAGCTGGGCATGGTCAGTGGAATGGTACGGAGTGGGGAGAAGGGGTCACCTCACTTGGGGAATGGCCTTCTTGTCTCAGGTGGCACCAAGATGCCATGTCATCCTTCCTTCTGAGCCACTTGCCTGACAGAACATGGCACCCCCAGCACCCCCTTACTCAGGTCTAAAATCCCTCCTGGCCCTACATCACTAAGACTTATCTTTCCGAGGTGACCCATCTGCTCTCCTTATCCCCCAAACCCTGTAAATTTCTACCCTGTGCCACTTCCAAACGCAATCAAATGTATTGACAATTGGTAAAGACTGGACGACTGACACCTCAGCAATACCTGTGTGATACATTGCTGGCTTGCCTTCATTGCTCAGACCCATCGACTATAGGAGTTGGGACATCATGTTGAGGGTGTACAGGACGTCGGTGTGGCCACTTTTGGAGAACTGTGTGCATTTCTAGGAAGGATATTATTAAAGAATATCTAGAAAGGATATTATTAAACTGGAGAGGTTGCAGGAAAGATTTACCATGATGTTGCCAGAAATGGAGGGTTTGAGTTATAAAACTAGGCTGGATAGTCTGGGACCTTTTTCACTGGAGTGTAGGAGGTTGAGGGTGACCTTATAGGGGTTTATAAAATCATGAGGGACAGAGAAAAAGTGACTAGCAAAGGTCTTTTCCCTCGGGTGGGGGAGTTCAAAACAAGGGACCATATTTTTATGGTGTGAGGAAAAAAATTTAAAAGCGACCCGAGGGGCAACTTTTTCACGTGGAGGGTGTGGAATGAGCTGCCAGAGGAAGTGATGGATGCAGGTACAGTTACAACATTGGAAAGACATTTGGACAGGTCCATGAATAGGAAAGGTTTGGAGGGATATGGGCTAAGGGCAGGCAGGTGGGACTAGTGAGAAACTTGGTCGGCATGGATTAGTTGGGCTGAAGGGCCTGTTTCTGTGCTGTATGGCACTATGACTGTATGACTATATGGGTATGAACTGTAACTGGCTCCACCTGATAGTCAATCAATGAATTTTCTAATTTCTCAATTGTAGGAGGGCTGAGGAATGTAACCTCCCATCAATGGGGATATTAAACAACCAGTGTATCCTCAATATGTTATTAACTTAGCCTTTAAAATCAATCAGCATCCGTGATAGAACATGAATAGCAGCAGCAATCAGGTATAGCTGACTACAATTGGATACCTTGTTGCACTTGTAAAGTCCATTAGGTTTTACTGTTCAACACTTCAACGTGTGATAACAATATTGACGCTGTCTAATGTTACGGCCCGTAGCAATTGGAGTATGATTTTCCAGAGCAGTCAATTGTTGTCGTGGCACGGTGATGGCAAAACGAAGTTTCTACGAGTCACCAAAGAAATTTGTCAGCCTTGGGGCTGGTCGCAATCGGATCAGGAATCCACAGACTGGACTGAACCACTGCTCCAGCCTCCATCCCCAGCGCATCCAAGACGTTCAGTCACCGACACAAATAAATCCATCTTGCCAAGTGCCCCCCTCCCACGACCCTGTCAATGACAATACGCAATAACAGGAGCAGAAATGCATCAGGCTCTCTCTCTCTCTCTCTCCACTGCAGCGTGAAAATATTCTAGAAAAGAACAGTCTCCAAATCCCAAGGCAAATTCTGGGGTAAGATTCGAAAAAGATCTTAATGGAAGCAATGGATTTATGAAAACTGCATCTTCAATTTGTGAAGACTGAGCTTTTATCTATGACCCTTTTAACTGACTGTCTGATCAATTAGGGGCTAGAGTCACTCACTCTATATATTCCCCTCTGCTCCATACCGAAGCCAACTAAAGGTGCCTGACACCTGTGCAGGTTATTCATGAATCCATATTTATACATCAGATAAAAATCAATGACAGAAGTGATCTCACAGTATATTTCCAGTGACAGGGATACAGTGACAAGAGATAAAATCAAGTGAGAGAAGATTGGCTTGGCACATATATACAAGCACAAACCATTGGGTCTGTGTGTTACTGTGATTAAACTGTTACGTGATTAGATCAGGAATGACGAATGCAATTCATTTTCCCTTCCACTCCAAATTCCATTTAGTCCATTGTCTGGACTGTAATCTGGTTGATCAGTTAACAAATTAGTTTAACCTGAATGGAAAGCTGGAAGCAGCCAGATTTGCCTTTGAAGGATAAATATGACATGCATTTGTTTTTCGCTTTCTATTATCCTCCTCACTACAGTGACTGAAGAGTGTAGGAATGGAGACAAAATGATGCTATTTTGTGAATGGTGTTCATGCTTGATAGTTTGACCTTTTAACAGGAAGCCTCATTGAGAGCCTCTGATTACATCCACTAAGTGTGAGCTGTATCTTGAGTTTAGATTCAAAACATACTGTAGTTTTATTTAACAGCACGACTAGAATTGGAGTCTGTGTTGAAAAAGATGTTTCTTTTAAAAAAAAAGCATTATCAAGAAAAGAAATTTTGGAATTCATATCCTGGCCCCTATAAATTCTGAGAGAACCCTAAGGAAGAATATCCAAGACTAATTAAGCTGTCAGTCTTTATTCCATAATTGACTTTCAGGATTGAACTGGAAGATCTTAGTTAGTCCACGGTCCTGTGACAGACTGCGCAGGGAGTGAATAATTTTGTCCTCCATGGAGATGGCAAATGAGGTAGTGTGAAGGTGAAATAATTGAGCGAGTTTGTCCGAGAGAGAAACCCACTACCTTTCCTCACCCACCTCTGTGGTTACCATCTGGGTAGAAAGGTCCTGTGGGGAAATTTCAGATGTTATTTCCCGTAATCAATGTGTTCAGAGATGTTATTACACACTGCTGGACCAGTTAGGACTGGAACCTGGGACTCGTAGCTCAGGGGTATGGACACTGCCATGGTGCCACACAAGCTCCAATTTGAGCAACTTCCAATTAACAGCAATTAAGACCCTTGAGTAGTCATTAATGGGCACTTAAAAAAACTCAAATCTCCACCTCCAGGACCATGTGCCACATAGTAGATAAGTTAGCTGGTTTCCCAGGTAACCAGGGCACCCTGGTATTGAATTAGGGTGGAGTACCTCCAATTTCACCAATTTGGGGCCAATCAGAGACATGGATAATGGGGAGCTGGTTGCCTCTGAAAGCCACCCGTCCCCCACCTTTTCATTGGACCTCCTTGACTACCCTCACCACATGACAAGAAGATCGAAATCGCGTGGCTGGACCACCCACCCACAATGGTGGCGGTTGACAGACTTTTTAGGACCCAAATGCTGCTGTCTTCTGATTGCCTGTCAGCTCTCTGGGAGCCAGGTGGTCACTGGTGAGGCCTGTAACATCCTCGCCCTTGCCTGTTGGTTCTTATTGAGGGTGAGTTATCTCGACAATGGGGATGGAGTGTCAGTCACCAGCTAACACACTCACCCTCCCACTTAGACGAGAAAAAGGAAAATCTCAGCTGTGTAGCCCTCGGGTGAAAATGACTTGGACAACAGAAGATAATTGAACCAGGGAGTACCAACATGACACAATTCTCGTTTTAACATCATACATTCTGCCTGTCTGTCTGCTTTTTCCCTACTACGCCACTATAAATTCCAGTCCACACTTTGATTATGGAAAGTGTCACTGTAATCTTTACTCTGTTTTGATTACACAATTCTGCCAGTGATGGCACTGTTGTGCTTCCACTGGCGAAAAACACAATTACAATCCGACAAGTTTACATTACAAATTTGAAACATAAGATTTATAACGGAAAAGCTGACAAAGTGTATTAAAGTGGTTTTCTTTATCACTTGTAACTACCACTTGGTTGATACCAACGTTCACACTATTTAAGCCAAATTAAAAGTCACAAGGGTCTTTAGTTTAAACTCAAAGGAGATCCTTGGACACTGTGTTCATATTGTCCTGATATTGGTGTTGGGTAGGTAGAGCCACCATAGCTTCAACCAAAAGTTAATTCCAGCAACATTACTGTCAAGAAAGATTGTAACAAGGAAGGCGACAATTGTTTGGGTTTTCTGAGATTATCAGTCACATCTTCAGCGATTTCCCCAGGGATAAAAGGAGAAACCATTAACACTGGATATTAAACCAAACAGATGCAGCTCATTCAATATTCTGCAGGCCAAAGGCAGATTGAATTTTCAAAAACTGGTTGAAGTCTTCAACCAATGTGTTGTCTTGACCTTGCTCATTCCACACGTTGACCGTCAAACTGCACATTTTGCTTTTGTGTTCATTTCACATTTCTGATGTTGAAATCTCTCCTATGCTCCAAAACCAGATGTATCCTGGCGACAATCTCAATGGTCCAGATGTAAATTTCTCAATGCATTGATCGCATTAGATTTCTCTATCTGCATCATACCTCCCCAGACAATATGTCAATTCAACAAGTCTTTAATGCACTCCAAATCCGACTGAATAAACTTTACTGATCATGCTACATTTCATGAGCCATTGTGGCTAATGAACTTTGACCTTTTTGTTGTTTTTATCTTTGATATTTGACATACTTCAAGAAACAAAGACATTCAGATGGCAAAAGATTAACATTTACTCTCAGCGGGTTTGTCACATTGTCTCACCCAATTTTCTCATAGATACATCAAATTGTTCCTACAGTTCCCCAAGTCTTGTGTGTTCAACTTCCTTCTGATTCATTTGTGTTGGAGTCTTCAACACTACTTCCTCTTATTAAGTAGGATACAGGAGAAGTCATTATTTGTGAGATGAGGCAATCCCAACGTTTACAGCAAGAACAAAGAACCTATTAATATTTTGGCACTGGAAATTGTCAAGACACATAGAGTAGAAGAGTACTATCTAATGATACTGTTCCCTCGCTTTTGTTTTAAGGGGGAGAATGAAAGAGGTGAGAAGGTGGAGAGAGAAGAGAAAGAAGGAAAGAAAGGGAAAAGAAAGGAGTATGAGAGAGAGAAAGAGAAAAGGGATTCTGGCAATTGAGAAGAGCAACCAGAGATGGGTTGTAGAATAACAGAAGTGGAATGGGGAGAAGACTCCCGCCGCTCACTCACATCTTTTCTCAGTGTTTTCTTCCCAAGGGTTGGATGCAATTCATTCCAAAGGTGGCTACTGTAATTGCAGAATGTGACGCATTCAGAGCTTGTGCTCCAGACACAGGCATAATTTTGCAGGGTGGATTTTTTTGCTTTTTTTTGTTGTTGATTGTGATCATAATTCCATCCCTCAAATCAAATTCTCCCAATCCTTGGCTGAATCACAGGGAACAAGGCGTTAATGATAGGAAAACGTTTTTCAAAACAAGTCTTTTTTTTATTTAGTCTGACACAAATGTATCAAAAATTCAGCAACATTAATTTAAGGATATATTTCGTGACCTTCAAACCTCAGCTACGTTATCAGAATTTAATACTCTTTCATTTAGCTTTCATACAATTTCAGTACAGTAACTGTATAGACATCAGATATTGATTGTCTATTTTCAGAGGGCAGTCAAGCACTTTCACGTGTGTATATTATATATATATATATTACATGTATTCAAGAACAGAAAACAACTGATAACATGGTACCAAGATATTGCTCACAGAATTTCTGAAGGTTTGAGAACAACTTTTGACACTGCACTACTGTTTAAATCAGATACAAAACATGACCATTTTAAATGAGCAAAACTGACTTTTTCAAAAAAAGCTATTTTCTCTTAATTATATGAGCCTTCAGCACCTCTCAACCACTGGGACTATTTCCAATGCTCTGCACTATACATAAATTCTAATGATGTGTGGCAGTTGTCTATAAGCAGTTGTGCTTTGCATTTTATAGCCCATTAGTACAGACTCCTTTAGAAGGCTTGGCTTGGACAACGACAGGAAATTCAACAACACACGTGAGAAAATACCAGCATTAAAACATGACTGCTGCCCAGCAGAATTTTACTCGAGTGACATTATTTGGGATCATTTACTCTTTTTGTTTTTATTTCGGAAACAATCTGTTGACAGTCCAGGCAATGAGAGGCACTCTTGATTTGTTTATGCATAGAACTCCTCCTGTTTCTCAGGTTTTTGGTAAGCTATGCTCGCCTGCTTCGGCTCTTCCAATGTGTAGCTTCCCTCGTCCTTTTTCTTCATTCGATAGATCAATAGCATGACCAGGAAGGCAGCAAAGAGTGCTCCGACCACCCCCCCAACGACCACCGCTGTGCAGGAGGAAACGGAAGAGTGTTAATAATGCAGTTTACCTCCCATACCATTGAACAAGGGGAGTCAAAATTGGTGCAGTCTCCAGTTGGAGGTGGGTCACGGAATGGAACAGATTTGTACCATTGTATGCAGATTGAATTCACTCCCGTGGATCTGAAAGCACAGAATGAGGCCATTCGGCCTACTGCATCTCTGAAAGAGCTCTTTGAAAGAACTACCCACTTACTTCCTTCCCGGCAGCCCTGCAAATTTTCCTTCATAATGATATATCCATTACTGTTAAAGATATAGTTGAAATTGCTTCTATCGTCTTTCCCTTGCAAGAATGCACTTCAAACCTATCCTCTACATTTAAGATATTATTATACAGTTTTGTCAAAATTATCCAAATTGCTCTTTGTCCAAGAATTTGGGAAACAGGAAAGTCTTACTTATTTATTCATGGGATTTGGGTGTCACTAGCTGCACCAGTACTTAGTGCCCATCTCTCATTGTCCTGGAGGAGGTGGGATTGAATCACCGTAGCCTGTTGTGTGTAGATACACCCACAGCGCTGTGAGCAGGCAGTTCCCTAAGTCAAACTGATCAGAGCAGAGGGGTTTCTCAATTCAGACCAATGAGTTGGGAACTTTAGAAATACAGTGGAGGAAGGTGTAACTCACAGTTCCACAAAATTAGATCAAAGTTATGAATTTGAAACAAGATATTTGGTCTAACTGGTCCATGCCATGACATCTCGTCCCATTCTCTTCTTCATCTTATCCTTTCAACATAACGTTTCTTTCCTTAATCCCTCTTGCATTTATCCAGTTTCTATACTATATTCGTCAACCACTCCTTGTGCTAGCAAATGGCACACATCCATCAAAGTTCCCTTTATTGGTTTGTTTTGGTGACTAATTTATATTCACAGCCACAAATTAGGGGAGGCTTGGCCTGGTGGTATTATCGCTGGAATGTTAATCCAGAGACCCTAGTAATTTTATGGGGACCATGGTTCAAATCCTGCCTAGGCAGATGGTAGAATTCAATAAATATCTGGAATTATGAGTCTAATGATGTCCATGAATCCATTGTCAATTTTCCAGAAAAATCCATCTTGTTCACTAATATCCTTTCAGGGAAGGAAACTGTCATCCTTACCTGGTCTGGCCTACATGTGACTCCAGGCCACAGCAATCTGCTTGACTCTGAACTGCCCTCTGGGCAAGTAGGGACAGGGCAATAAACGCTGGCCGGGATAGTGATGCCCATGTTCCGTGAATGAATATAAAAAAAGGTCTTTAGAATGAAATTAGATCATTCTACAAGAATTTGTGATAAATCCAGTTTTCTTTAAACATCATTACGATAGATATTTTGTTATATCTAATTACACATTTATGTGGTTTGATAATATTTTGGTAATATGTAACATATTACCATTATTAAATGTCTCGAAGTGCAAGATTTATTGGCATGCTTTTGTTATACACGGAAATACTTTGGCCAATCTGTGTCAGCAACATCTCACTGATCAGAAGCTAAATAACTGAAGGTGTTAATGAAGGACAGTGCTGGTCTGAATAGTATCAGGAATGAGGGACATTGGTTAGTGAAAAGACTGGAGAAGCTGGGAATTGCTTTTCTTGGTACAGAGAAGGAATGTATAGGATTGAATAAGGACAAAAAAGGGAAGCTTATTGTAGCTATCAAGGCTTAATAATAGCAGAAGTCGTAGAGAGGTGTAGAAAGTGCACAGGGTTACCTAAAACAGAAATTAGGAGAGTGTAACATTGGTAATTAAAACATAGGATAATCTAAAGGCGTTTTATAAATAACAGGCAAGACAATGTCCAGGGAAAGTGTGTGGCCCATTAGGGATTAAAATGGCAATGTGTGTGTGTAGCTGGAAGATGTGGCCGAGGTTTTAACTGATTACTTTGTTTCTGTATTCACTACTGAGGAGAAGAATGTATGTATAGAAATCAGGGAGGACAACTTTAACAAATTAAACAGATTAGCATGAAGAGGCAGGATGTATTGATGGTTTTGGTGGGCTTAAAATTGGATAAATCCCCAGGCCCAGATGAGGTGTATCCTAAGCTGTTGTGTGAAGCAAGGGAGGAGATTGGAGAGGATTTGACGTTAATTTTCAAATAAAGATACAGGAGGGATGGCAGAAGACTTGAGGACAGCTAATGTGGTACCATTATTCACGAAAGGAGGGAGGGATAAATCAGGGAATTACAGGCCTGTGAGTCTCACATTAATTGTAGGGAAACTATTGGGGGGGATAAAATATCTGACAGACAGAATAGGTGCTCGGAGAGACAAGGGTTAATCATGGATAGCATGGCTTTGTCAGTGGAGATTGCACCTAAAAGATTTGACTGAAAATTTTAAAGCGGTAGCTCAATGTGTAGATGAGGGTACAGCAGTTGATGTACTGTACATGGACTGAATTATAATATTTCAAAATTGACAAGGTGTTGCAGACTGGTTGAGAAGATAACATCCAGGGCAATTTGGCAAACTGGATTCGAAACTGGCTGAGTGATAGGAAGCAGAGGGTGATGGTTGAAGGTTTTTTTTATGACTGGGAGCCTGTGTCCATTGGTGTATTACAGGGCTCATTGCTGGGCCCCTTGTTGTTTATAGTTTGGATTAGTGACCTAGACTCAAATGTAAGAGATATGATCAGTAAGTTTTCAGATGACATGAAAATTATTGGTGTGGTAAATAACAAAGAGGAATGATTTAGACAACAGGAAGATATAGGTGGACTGGTGAGTTGGGTTGAACAGTGACAAATGGAACTTAATCTTGAAAGTGTGAAGTGATGAATTTTTGGAGGACTGACAGGTAAGGGAATAAATGGTAGGATCCTGAGTAGTACTGATGATCACAGGGTTATGAAGGCATATGGGATACTTGGCTTTATTACTCAGGAATTTAATGCAAGAGCAAAGAGGTGATGATGGAATTGTTTACAATGTTAGTCAGGCCATAACTGGAGTACTGTGTGGAGGGCTGGTTGCCATATCTCGGGAAGGATGTGACTGCACTGGAGACTGTGCAGAGGAGATTCACCAGGATGTTGCCTGGGCTGGAGCAACTCAGCAATGAAGAGACAGTTGACACACTCGGGCTGTTTTGGAGCAGAGAAGGCTGAGTAGGGATCTAATTGAGGTGTACAAAATTCTGAGGGGCATAGATAGGCTCAATAGGAATAAATGTCTTCCCTCAGCCAAGGGGTCAATAATCGGAAGGCATAGATTTAAGGCAAAGGGCAGGAGGTTTAGAGGAGATTTAAGCAGAATTTGTTTCACCCAGGTGTTGGGGGCTGGCATCTGGAACTCCCTTTCTGAAACGGTGGTAAGAGATGGGAACCATCACAACATTCAAGAACTATTTAGATGAAAACTTGAAATGCAACAACATATAAGGTTAGGGGCCGAGTGCTGGGAAATGGGATTGAAGAAGGATAGGTGCTTGATGACTGGCATGGACATGATGGGCCAAAGGGCCTCTTTCTATGGTGCAATATTGATGCCTCTATGTTAAGAAAAGACTTGATAGAGAAATTTAGAATCATGAATAGATTCAATATGAGTAATTAAGAAGAAACTGATGGAAATGTACTGAGTCTGAAACATTACTATTTGGGAAAAGGCATTCCTACAGTTTCAGAATGGACATTCACAGCTGACCTTGGAGAAACCTGTCTGTGGGAGCTCACAGCAGAGAAGCAGCTAAGTGCAGAGGGTGTTGTATGTATGGAATGAGCTGCTAGAGGAAGTGGTGGATGCTGGTACAATCACAACATTTAAAAGGCATCCGGGTGGGTATATGAATAGTAAGCTTTTAGAGGCATATGGGCCAAATGCTGGCAAATGGGACTAGCTTTATTTAGGATATCTGGTCGGCACAGAGAAGTTGGACCGAGGGGTCTGTTTCCGTGCTGTACAACTCTATGACTATGACTTTATTGCTTTATTTTGTCATCAAAGTGAGAAAGTTTGTGGATGGAATGGTAAAACATTGTGAAACTGCACATCAATCAGTAAATTGTTGGGCTTTTTCCCTGTACTTCCAGTACAAAACGGAAGCGCAATTAAATGGCGTATTTTTTTCCTGAAATAATGTCAATTCTGTAAGGAGTGTTTATTCTGTTTTCTGATATACTCTGTCCAATATATCAATACAAAGGAAATGTGAGACCACATCTTTTTCATTTCCACCATCCAGTTCTTTAAAACAGAAGCAGGGTTTATCAGCTCGCTGTGGACAAATACATCTGATGGCAGAGAAAGAAGAAGCATATAAAAGGGCATTCCCAATACACCGAGTCATAAAATTAGTATGGCACAGAAGAGGCTATTTGACCCATCAAGTCTATGCTAGCACATTCCAGTCCATTGTTTTATCCTTGTAATTCTGTAAGTTTATTTACCTCAAGTATTTAACCAATTTCTTTTTGAAATCATTTGTCATTTCAACCACCCTCATAGGACATAAATCTCAGGCACAACCACTTACTACAAGAGAGAGTTATTCCTCACATGCCATCCACATTCCTCCAAACCGACCTTTTACTAAAAATCTTAAATCTGCATCTCCTAGTTCTCGTACCATCAACTAATGGAAACTCTCTTTTGTCAATCTTATCTCAACCCTTCATAATCTTGTTAACCTTGATCAGATCTCTCCGGCTCCATGGAGAACTATCATTCTCCATTTGAATCTTGTAGCTCATTCCTGGAACCATTCGGGTCAATCTCCACTGCACCCTCTCAGGGTCTTCCGAAAGTGTGGTGGCCAGGGCTACATAAGACACTGTTAATTTGTTCATAAGCTGTGGACAACACTGGCAATAGGAACATTTGATGTAAATCCCTCACTGTCCATTGCACTGAATAGCTTTTAGAGGGCAATTAAAAGTTAACCACATTGCTGTGGGTCTGGAGTCAGATGTAGGCCAGACCAAGTAAGGATGGCAGATTTCCCTCCCAAAAGGACATTAGTGAACTAGAGATAACAAGGTGTGGAGCTGGATGAACACAGCAGGCCAAGCAGCATCAGAGGAGCAGGAAAGCTGACGTTTTGGGTCTAGACCCTTCTTCAGAAATGAACTAGATGGGTTTTTACAACAATCAATGATTGTTTCTTGGTCACCATCACTAGTTTACAATTTTAGATTCGTTAATTGAATTAAAATCCTCTGTTTGCTGTGGCAGGATTTGAACCTATTTATTAACCTGGGTCACAGAATTACTAGCCCAGTGACATTACCATAAAACCATAAGACATAGAAGCAGAAATTAGGCCTTTCAGCCCATCGGGTCTGCTCCAACATTCGATCATGACTGATAAGTTTCTCAACCCCATTCTCACACTTTCTCCCTATCACCCTTGATCCCCTTGACAATCAAGAACCTATCTATCTCTGTCTTAAATATTCTCAATGACCTGGCCTCTGCAGCCTTCTGTGGTAATAAATTCCACAGATTCACCACTCTCTGGCTGAAGAAGTTTCTCCTTATCTCCATTCTAAAAGGTCTTCTCTTCACTCTAAGGCTGTGTCCTCGGGTCTGTCGTACCAATGGAAGCATCTTCCCAACATCCACTCTATCCAGGCCATTCAGTATTCTGTAAGTTTCAATTAGATTCCCTCCTTCATCCTTCTAAACTCCATCGAACATAGACCCAGAGTCCTCAAATATTCCTCATATGCTAAGCCTTTCATTCCTGGGATCATTCTTGTGAACCTCCTCTGGACCCACTCCAGGACCAGTACATCCTTCCTGAGATATGGGGCCCAATATTGTTCACAATATTCTAAATGTGGTCTCACCAGAGCTTTATAAAGCCTTAGAAGTACATCTCTGCTTTTATATATTAGTCACCTCAAAATAAATGCCAACGTTGTATTTACCTTCGTAACTACTGACTCAACCTGCAAGTTTACCTTAAGAGAATCCTGGACTAGGACTTCCAAGCCCCTTTGCACTTTAGATTTCTGAATTTTCTCCTCATTTAGAAAATAGTCTATGCCTCTAATCTTCCTACCAAAGTGCATGACATCATAATTTCCCACATTGTATTCCATCTGCCACTTCTTTACCCACTCTGCTAACCTGTCTAAATCCTTCTGCATAGACCCTTCTTCTGAAGAAGGGTCTAGGCCCGAAACGTCAGTCTTCCTGCTCCTCTGATGCTGCTTGGCCTGCTGTGTTCATCCAGCTCTACACCTTGTTATCTTAGATTCTCTAGCATCTGTAGTTCCTGCTATCTCTAAATCCTTCTGCAGCCTCCTCACATCCTCAATACTACCTGTCCCTTCACCTATCTTTGTATCACCTTCAAATTTAGCCAGAATGCTCTCAGTTCCTTCATCTAGACCACCACTGTGCTACCATCTTCCCCATGGATATTATGGCATAAATAAAGCTTTATAAAGGTTCAATATAATTTCCTCACTTTTGTACTCAGTATCTCTACGTATGAAGTCAGACTGAACTCAGCTCTGCCTTCACAGTATTCACTATGCCTTTCACAGTATCTTAAAATTCATTTAGGAGTTTTTCAACTTAATTTTAAAGCCTGACTTTGCGAATGAAGGCCTAAGCAGAATAAACTTGCAAAATACACTGAATGGTATTCACATCTGACCACATAATCCATTCAAATTGAATTTCCTCCATTTAAAACATGCTCAAGGCTTACCTCCTTGAACAAGTTTATGGACACTGCTCTGAATGTGTTAGAGCTCCTGTAACCTGGGTTGTGGTGCCCTTTGAAGCAACACTTGCCATAATGGTCTGGCTATTCGACCTTCTTGACACCAGCTCTAAAGTCAAGGCTACTCTGCATCTGGGGCAATACCACAATAATACATCACTGTGTCCTCAGTATAATCTGTGCAGCAAAGACTACTGAAGGAAGAAGCTTACCTACTAAAACTTCTTTCCTCTCCAGTATGTTTTTCTGGGGTAATTGTGCAGCTGAAGATGAGCTCCCCGAATCGATTGCATTGTCTATCATATCGGGGAGGCCGTTCATCCCAGTACCCCTCCCGATTGGTTGTGTGACGACAGCAAATACTTCATTATTTGCCTCTGGATTTATCACTTCCCCTTCCTCAGTGATTTCAAAGTCTCCACTCGGACCTCCTGCAGCAAGAGATTCCACTTCGTTGTTGACAGTTGTCCCTTTGATTATTTCACTGGAGTCATCTTTCTGTGTGTGCTAATTTTTGAAAGAAAAAGTGATTGGAATTGTTCATTAAAAAGCAGATTCATACCCAAGTCCCTTCAGATTTAGCTTGCTATGGAAATGACAGCGTTGGCAAGAAGTAGAAAGAAGCAAACCCTCCAATTTGGCTTTCCTGCTTTCAAAATGCACAATGCTTTATTCAAAGACATTGGGGGGGAGGGGTTCATTTTAATCATTCTACCCTGTCGCAGTATGACTCACTGACTTCAATGCATGGTTAAATTGGATTTATTGCAAGGTCAAGATTGCTGTTTAGTTCCTCAATAGGTGGAATAAGTTGCATTTGTGCCCAGAGTTGATAGATGTGAAGCTGGAAAAGTACAGCAGGTCAGACAGCATCTGAAGAGCAGGAAAGTCAACGTTTCAGGCCGAAACCCTTCATCAGGGCTCGCATCACTCTTGTGCCCATTTGGGTGGGAGACAAATTCAGCAGTGCTCCTGATACCAAAGGATCTCACCTGATCCTTTAGAATTAAGTTAAAATTGCTCCCAAACATCTGTCTGTCACCACGATTCAGATGTGAGCCAAGCCAGCAAATGCAAACAAGCTAGAGAAAAACAAAACCTGAAAGAACTGCGGATGCTGTAGACCAGAAACAAAAACAGAAATTGCTGGAAAAGCTCAGCAGGTCTGGCAGCATCTGTGGAGAGAAATCAGAGTTAACGTTTCAGGTCGAGTGACCCTTCCTCAGAACTCGGAATGCCAACAAGCAATTTGACAATGCATCCTGTCCTCTGTACAAAAAAAATTGTTAGCCAAGAGAGTTCTCAGCACATTCCAAAGAACTGAGCAATACAAAATTGAGGGGCTATAGCACAATCACTGGTGGGAGGCTGTAAATACAGATAAGGACTTCAACAGATAGCTTTGAAGGCAGGTTATTTTTCTAATCAACATGTTCAGAATGTTATTACACACCCCTGGAGCAGGTGGGACTTGAACCTGGTCCTCCTGGTTCAAAAGTAGGGATGCTACCCACTGCAGGAGAAAAGGGTGCTAATTGTTTGGCAACTTGACCCAGATTGGCCAAGGTGTTGCCATGAGAAGGTAATGAAAGAGTATGGTCTCTCCAGTGATTATAAATTGTTGTGATTATTTGAAATTCCACATTCTTGTGTTTGTCTAGATGATTGAAACAGGAACAGCTTTGACAACAATATTCAGCAATACTCAAGATCAGAAATACAGGCACAGATCAGCGACAACAGTGTTCATTAATTCTTTTGCAAGGAACCTTTTTGAAGCTTGTCTACCTCGACAACTTCTGTGAACTGTTTTTTCCTCATTCTGAAGAGGATTGTATAAAAAGGTAGAGATGCAGACAATCCTGAGTTCCCTTAGAGCCATGTCTCCATTCACAGGGGAGAGTCTACTCATGTTTCTTTAAAACTGCACAGCTGCTGTTAATCCCAGGATTATACACGCTTTGACAAGAAAGACCACAGAACATCAGAGAAAGCTTTGCAATCGAATCCATTCCAATGTTGAGAATGCCCCTCATTAATACATTCAATTGTTATGAATGATTCTGTATCTAAGTGTGTTGGGAATTCTGGGTAGGGGAGTTAGGCCTCACTGTCCTGATTACTACAACCACAACTTCTTTTTAGTAGCAGCTTGTAACATCCTAATATGCTTCACAGGAATGATTAATCATAGAGTCATAGAGCTGTAGAGCATGGAAACAGACCCTCCGGTCCAACTCGTCCATGCCGACCAGATATCCTAAATAAATCTAGTCCCATTTGCCAGCATTTTGCCTATATCCCTCTAAACTCCTTCTATTCATGTACCCATCCTGATGCCTTTTAAATGTTGTAATTATACCAGCCTCCACCACTTCCTCTGGCAGCTTATTCCATACGTGCACCACCCTTTGCATGAAAAAGTTGCCCCTTAGGTCCCTTTTAAATCTTTCCCCTCTCACTTTAAACCTATGCCCACTAGTTTTGGACTCCACCGCCCCAGGAAAAAAAGACCTTGGCTATTCACCCTATCTATGACCCTCATGATTTTATAAACCTCTATAAGGTCACCCCCTCAGCATCTGAAAATAACCCCAGCCTATTCAGCCTCTCCCTATAGCTCAAACCATCCAACCCTGGCATCATCCTTGTAAATCTTTTCTGAACCCTTTCAAGTTTCACAACATCCTTCCTACAGCAGGGAGACCAGAATTGAATGCGGTATTCCAAAAGTGCCCGCACCAATGTCTTGTACAGCCACAATACGACCTCCCAACTCCTACATTTAATGCACTGACTAATAAAGTGAAGCATACTAAATACCTTCTTCACTTTCCTGTCACCTGGGACTCCACTTTCAAGGAACTATGGGAACGCCAAGGTTTCTTTGTTCAGCAACACTCCCCAGGACCTTACCATTAAGTGTATAAAGTCCTGCCCTGCTTTGCTTTTCCAAAATGCAGCACCTCACATTTATCTAAATTAAACTCCATCTGCCACTCTTCAGCCCATTAGCCCATCTCCTTCATGGTCCCATTGTACTCTGAGGTAACCTTCTTCTCTGTCCACTGCACCACCTATTTTGGTGCCATCTGCAAACATATTAACCATACCTCCCATGTTCAGATCCAAATCATTCATATAAATGGCGAAAAGCAGTGGACCCAGCATCAATCCTTGTGGCACACCACTGGTCGCAGGCCTCCAGTCTGAAAAGCAACCCACTACCACCACCCTCTGTCTTCTATCTTCAAACCGATTCTGTATCCAAATAGCTAGTTCTCCCTGTATTCCATGTGATCTAACCTTGCTAACCAGTCTACCATGAGGAACCTTGTCGAATGCCTTACTGAAGTCCCTACAGATCACTTCCACTGCTCCGCCTTCATCAATCCTCTTCATTACTTCTTCAAAAAACTCAAGCAAGTTAGTACTATTGAACTACTTTTGATATTGAGCTGTTGAAAGAATTATTAGGTCAGATAATCAAATCTGTGCTCTAAGATCCTACGTTTTATGTGCTACAATATGTATAAAGGGTCCTGTACATTGACCGCTGTCATCTGTGGCTGTGTCATAGTAACACATTTGTCTATCTGGAAGGAGTGCAGCGCTTTTGGATATCCTATCTTTTGGGCAGTACGTTAAATCAAGGTCCCAGCTTTAGAATTGGATGCCCCACTGTGTTATGTTAAATGAGTTATCCATAGTATTCTAATCAAGTAAGTATCCCTCAATCAACACCACAGAAACCTGTTTAAAAGGACTTTGCTGTTTGTGGGAGTTTACCTGCTGCATTTTTCTACATTACAGCAGCAATTACATCTCAAAAGTACTTCACTGACTGTCAAGCATTTTGAGTCATCTGGTGGTGATGAAAAGCACTATAGGAATGTAATTTTTTAAATTACTCATTACATGCAGGCTTGGATTGGCCTGCGATGCCTTTCACAGTTAAATATCCTGCTAACACCAATGGCCTGGTTGACAATGGGAGAAAAGTTGGTGCAAGCATTAGATTCATGCAGTGAATTGAGATGTTGCAGCATCTATTCTTTTTAAAATTCTTCCATGAGACATGAGCTTTGCTGGCTAGGCCAACATTTGTTGATGTCAAGCTGGACTAATGGTGACTATAATCACTGATTGTCCTAAATAACCCACCTTGTTCACTGAAGTCTTTCAGGGAAGGAAATCTGCCATCCTTACCTGGTCTGTCCGCCATGTGACTCCAGACCCACAAAAATGTGGTTTGACTCTTGACTGTCCTCTGAAACGGCCCTAGAATGCGACTTTTTCAGGGGAAAATAAATGTTGGCCCAAGACTCACTTGAAAAAAATAACAAGCACACCCACAACGCTGTTAGGGAGGGAATTCTAGAATTTGGACCCAGCGACAGTGAAGGAACGGCGATATATTTCCAAGTCAGGATGGTGAGTGGCTTGGGGGGGATCTTGCAAGGGCTGGTGTTCCTATGTATCTGCTGCCCTTGTCCTTCTACATGGAAGCGGTTGTTGTTTGGAGGATGCTGTTAAAAGAACCTTGGCAAAGTTGCTGCAGTGCATTGCTGAGAAGTGAAGGGAATAATTGTCTTAGTCGGTGGATAGGGTATCGATCAAGAGAGGCTGCTTTATCCTGGAAGGCACCAGGCTTCCTGAGTGTTGTTGGAGTTGCAACCATTCAAGGAAAGTAAAGTATTCCATCATACTCCTGACGTGTGCCTTGTAGATGGTGGACAGGCTTTGGGGAGTCAGGAGGTTACTCGCCACGAAATTCCCAGACTCTGGCCTGCTTTTAAAGCTAAAGTATTGATATAACCATTAGAGGGAGCATTCAAAATTACATACAGCACAGAGAATTATATCACCCACCGCACAGGGCCATTCAGCCCAACTGCTCTTTGCTGGGACAGAAACAAGCCATTCAGCCCAATTAATCTTTGCTTCTATCAATACTCCATGAGCCATAACCCTTTACTTATAATCTCATCACTGTTGCCCTTGATTCATTCTTCCCTCATGTGTTTATCTAGCTTCCCGTAAATGTATCTATGCTGTTTTCCTCAGTTGCTGCTTTTGGCAGTGTTGAATTCACACTCTCACCACTCTCTGGGTTAAAAAAAACATGCAGCATTCCTTATTGGTGTTGGCGGTGGCCATTTTATTAAATATTTTTATATTTATTTTATTTTTATGGGCTCTAGGTTTTGACTCATCAAATCGATTGGAAAATCAGAACCGGTGGAGGCCATTCAGCCCATTGAGCCTGCCCTGTTATTCCAGATCATGACCAATCATCTTCTCAATGCCACTTTACCACATTATCGCCATATCCCTTAATCTCATTAATGTCCAGAAACCTATCGATTTCAGTCTTGAACTTAATGAGTGAGCTTCCACAACTCATTGAGGTAAAGAATTTCAAAATATTCACCAGACTCTGAATGCAGCAATTCCTCCTCACCTCAGTCCTTAATGCCCTACCCCTTAGGGGGAACATCCTAACTGTATCCACTCTGTCATACCCTGTAAGAATTTTCTGCGTTTCATTGAGATGCTGGTAAATTCATCAGATGGGTGTTTAGCAGGAGGAGATGAGGGCATTGTTTGAATGTAAAACCTTCACTGCAAAATAAACCTGGGAACTTTTCAATCCGCAAAACTCTTCCTGAAACATCCCTCTTCCTTCTATACCGTAACAGATCAACAGGGAGCCCATTGTAACAGATCAGCTCAGGATTCTTTCTAAGGTTGGTGACCAGTGACCAGTGGGGTTACACAGGGATCAGTGTTGGGACTGCAACTGTTTACAACACATATGAATGACTTGGAGGAAGGAAGCGAATGTACTGTAGCCACATCTGCAGATGACACCAAAATAGGTGGAAAGGCAGATTGTGAGAGGGATACAAACAGTTTACAGAGAGATATTGATAGGTTAAGCAAGTGGGAAGATGGAGTATAATGTAGGAAAATTTGAAGTTGTTCATTTGGAAGGGGGAACAAAAGAACAAAATATTATTTAAATGGAAAAGAAATGCAGAAAGCTGCAACACAGAGGCACTTGGAGGAACTTGTGCATGAAACTCAGAAAGCTAGCACACAGGTGCAGCAGGTAATCAGGAAAGCTCAGGGAATGTTGGCTCTTATTTCTTGGCAGTCGGACTATAAGAGTCGGGAAGTTTTACTGTAACTGTTCAAGGTGCATGAGCGGTTTTGTTTTCATTATTTTGGGAAAGATATAATTTCATTGGAGACAGTTGAGAGAAGGTTCACAAGGAAGATTCCTGGTATGGAGGGATCGTCTTATGAGTAAAGGCTAAACAGATTAAGCTCTGTTGATTGGAATTTAGAAAAATGAGAGGTGATCTCATTAAAACATATAGGATTGATAAAGAGTTTGACAAGCTAAATGCCGAGAGGATATTTCCCCTCATGGGAGAGTCTAGAACCAGAGGGCATTGTCTCAGAATAAAGGGGCACCAATTTAAGACTGAGATGAGGAGGGATTTCTCCTCCTGACAGTTGAGAGTCATTGGAACTCCCTGCCACAGAGAGCTGTGGGGACAGAGTCCTTGTGTATATTTAAGGCTGAGATAGATAAATTCTTGATTAGTTGGGGGATCAAGGGTAATAGGGAAAGGGTAAGAGAGTAGGTGTGAGGAATGTTGGATCAGCTGTGACCCTATTGAATGGCAGAGCACATGAGAGGCTGAACTCTCTATTCCTGATCCTGTTTCTTATGGTCTTAACTCGGGACCCATTGTAACAGGTCATCTGGGTGCCATTCTAATTTCTATTGCATGAAAACTTCAGGAGACTTGCTTCCACACTCAGTTGGGATAGCATTGCCACGTTGATCACCCTTGACCCTAGTATGGAATGTACCTTTCATTAGACTGGAACCTTGTCCCCTTTATCCAACCCACAGGGTTACAGTTCAGATAGCGTCAAAGACTGTTTACTTCCCTACCATATTCTCCATGATACATTTCTCAAGAATCATCTCTCAGGTGCCTCCAGCCCTTTTACAAATTGAAAGGTCCTCGCAACATGTGCTTTCCGTAGGCAGTAGTCATAAGCAGGCCCTAGGCCTGACCAACTTTATTTTGTTCCCACTGCCTGGAAATTATACTTGTTCACAATTCTAATGCCGTTTTAATTCCCAAGTACAGTCTTCTAAAAAGTCATACAGTTGATTTGCAACTAAGAAGACAAATAAATTATAAGCATTTGGGGTTCCAGAGTATTCTGCACAGGGCAGTTACTAGGCTCCAGTCAGAATTAAAGAACATACAAATTCTTGTAGTCTGCACTCTAACTGGGAGGTTTATTTCTGTAGTTGTGCACTCTGCACAGGCTCTGATGGGCCTCCGTCAACTCTTAAAGGAATACCGTCCCAACTATAATATGTAAAACAGAGGGTCTAAGGGGTCAATTATTTAAATGTTACGACTTACCTCTGTGATGTAAGGGACATGAGAGAGGGTTTTCCAAGTGCTCTCTGTGAAGCTTGCCAATGAGGCCCGGCTTGTGTGTGGATCTGCTGTCGACGCTGGTCTGGCCACATCACTGACTCTGGTGGCACTCCTCGTGATTGGCCGCACTGTGGTTGCTGCTGCAGTAGCGAGTGGCACAATGGCAATGGTGTGGGCAGTCGGCATGGCGACGGTGCTGGTACTGGCGCTTGTCGTGGTGCTTGTGGTCGTTGTCAGGATGGTTGTGGTGGAGGCAGCGGCTGGCATCGTGATGGGGACTGGCGCTATTGTCGTGCCCGCTGCCACGGTGAGAGCGGAGGCAGAGGGTGTGGGTGAACTGGCCGCGCTGCCGCCTGCCAGGGCAGTACTCTGGAAGGTGAAGGCAATCGGCTGGAGTGAGCCGAAGGAAGTGGTGGAGGGCGGAGAGGTAACTGGCCGGGCCATACTGGTGGTAAACCGCAGCTCAGAGTCAAACTCAAAGTCTGAAAAGAAACACAAACACTGGGTTAAAGCTGATGGTCATGGATTGTACAAACCATGGATGGGAGAGTCATATAACATAGAGGGATGCCATTGCACCCATTGTGACTGTGCTAGCTCTTTGAAGGTGCATCTGTTTAGTCCCTCTTCTTTGCTTTTTGCCCATAGTCATGTACGTCTCTCCTTTAAAGTGCTTATTGTTTCTATTTTGAAAGTTAGAATTGAATGTTTCCAACATCCTTTCATTCCAGATCACAACATCTCACTGCTTTTTCAGAAAAAGGTTTCCTCTTTTTGCTTTGGTATGGAGCAGACTCAAGGGACTGAACTCTTACTCCTGCTCCAAATCCTTAAGCTCTTTGGGCTCTTTCGGTCAATGCCATAACTCAGTGTCCATTAGTTACCAACCCTTCCACCCGTGCAAGTGGGAGTAGGCACTGAACCAATCCATCAGGGCAATGGGGTTTATGAATCCTTATGATTCCAAGTATTAGGGGAGGCGATGGCCTATTAATGGACTGTTAATCCAGAGACCCAGGTAACGTTCTGGTGACCTGGGTTTGAACTCCACCACAGCAGATGGTGGAATTTGAATTTAACAAAACTCTGGAATTAAGAGTCTAATGATTAATGAGTGTAATGACGATTGTCAGGAAAACTCATCTGGTTTGCTAATGCCCTTCAGGGAAGGAAACTGCAATCATTATCTGGTCATGTGACTCCAGACCCACAGCAATGTGGTTGACTCTCAACTGCCCTCTGAGATGGGCAATAAATGCTGGCCTAGCCAGTGATGTCCTCATCCCCTGAATAAATGAATAAGAACACACACACACACACACACACACACACACACACACACACTCACTCACACTCACACAAACACTCACACACACACACACACACACACACACACACACATTCATACTCACTCACTCACACTCACACAAACACTCACACACACACACTCACACACACACACTCACACACACACACTCACACACTCATACGCACTCACTCACACTCACACACACACACTCACACACTCATACTCACTCACTCACACTCACACTCACACACACACTCACACACTCACACACACACACTCATACTCACTCACACACTCACACACACACACACTCACACACACACACACACGCACACACACTCACACACACGCACACACACATGCTCACTCACACTCACACACACTCACACTTGCTCACACTTACACACACTCACACACACACTCACACTCACACTCACACACACACATTCACACTCACACATTCACACTCACACACACTCACACTCTCACACTCACACACATGCACACACACTCACACTCACACATTCACACTCACACTCACACTCACACACACTCACACACACACACTCACACACACACACTCACACTCACACTCACACACAAGATCTGAGGCTAGAATGGCTACTCCAAACTAACCTACCAAAACATATAATCAGATGCGACAATAATATTTTGTCAATGCCTTCAGGATTGGAGGCAAGCAAGCAGAGCATGGAGAAGAGGGGCAGGTGGAAGCAGGCCTTCTAGAAGATTCTATTTCGCCAAATAATCTCTGAGAAAGAGCCTTTGTTGTTTTGCCTGTCTTCACAGGTCCACCATTGCCAGTACAGAGATCATGCCCCAAACTGATGACAGCTGATCGATCAGGTCAGATCACTGGGAGGCAGAAAGAACTATATGGAACAATGTCAGAAAAACAAACAGAGAAAGCACTGGGGAAAATCAGCAGGTCTGGCAACATCTGTGGAGAGAGAAAGCAGAGTTAATGTTACGGCTCCAGTGACTGAGGTACAGCAAACCCACAATTTAAGACAAAATGTAGTTTGGTGCTGATGGTGACCTGGGAGTATTGGCAGAACCAACAACTCAAGGGGAGGTGAGTGGCCCAAATTCATTTTTAAGAGCATTTGTAAATTGAAAATGAATTTTGAATAATGTTTGATCTGCCTGTTTGACATATTCCTCCATCCATTTCTGAAAGCAATAGCAATCTCGGCTCTTGTTTTTAATTCTAACTATTGCATTCTAAGATGTGCCAGAGAGTGGTGACTCTGTACATTTTTCACTGTACTCCTGTAATCTTTTACTAGCGTACATGTGACAATCAAATCTAATCTAATCTAATTTGCAGAGGAACAGTTCCTCAGACATTAATAATTTATTCTTCACATGTGACTGCTTTGGATTGTACCATTGTCTAACTGTGTCGAATGTTTGGTGTATAATGCATGGCTAAGTCAGCAATGACCACTGACCCACATTACAGTCATTATATGTAAACTGTGTGACAAGAAGTGCATAAACGAAGGAAAGAGTGGTCCTACGTAAGGTTGTTCTCACTGGTACCTAACATCGTCCTACTGCTGGAGAGATGTTACACACAGAGGCCAGGAATTTTCATTTCAGTTTGGGATCGTGACCCACACTGTGTCAGGAACATTCACACGGCTCTGATATTTCCTGGTTAAGTCAATTAGTGGCCAGAACATGTCCTTGCCAACCAGCTAAGTGCAGCAGGAAGATTCCCAAAGAGCACAGCCTGCTATTGCAAATGAGAGAGACAGAGAAACAGAGAGAGAGAGAGAGAGCACATCAGAGCAGCAGACAGAGAGAGAGAGAGTGACAGACAGAGAGAGAGAAAGGCCAACAGAGAGACTGAGACAAACACATAGAGAGACACACAGATAGAGAGGGCCAGACAGACAGAGACAGGCAGATGGCGAGAGAAAAACAGAGACAGACACAAGCAAACAGAGAGAGAAAGAGAGGAAGAGGTGGTCAGACAGACACAGAGACTTAGACAGAGGCAGAAAATACAGAGAGGTAGACAGAGACTGACAGAAAGACAGATAGCGATTCTACTGTAAGGTGACCTCTTAGAAGTTTTTTTTAGTTTTGAAATAAAAAGTGCCTGGGGCTGCCATGGTGGGGAGGAAATCCATCCACAGCATGGCCAGTGGCTGATGTGTATCAGGTTGGGGGAATAGAGAGGTGGTTTTTGAGTCTTACCCCTGGAGGACTTCTCCCTCCCTCTCACCTGCTGCCTTCCATCTCTCTCCCTCCTCCTACCCCTCTGTCTTGATCTCTTTCTCTGCATCACCTCCACTCAGCTCCCCAGTCCCCAACCGGCCTTTAACTTCCCTCCCTTGGTACTTGCTGGTTTCTCCCCTGACACTAATTCTGGGGAAAGTGCCCACCATCTCCGTTTGTACCCCATATTGGGGCAAATGTTCTGCCCATGAGTCTCTAGTTGGACCTTTTCCCTGTTCCAGTGTAAGTTGGGTCCTAGCTGGGATTAATTCCAACATTCACTCAAAGCTGCCGTTCCGATATTCTGCATGCAGGCTCAGCCTGGGCTCTCTGATCATGGTATTGACTTCCACTTCTGGAAGTCGCTGCGACACACAGCCCACAGAATCAGCTAGAAAATTAGAGGGAACGCTGATCAATTCACATAGCAGGGAGACAAGTGTGCAATCTGCGGTTTTGTAAAATCACAGGGTTTTTACTTTCTGTGGAAATGACTGTGACAGAGTGCTGACGGAAGCTTGAAAGTGGCAGGGAGATCAACTTACACAGCAGTCAGCATTGATGATGCTGATCACTGCTCTGTGTTCAAGTCAAACCTGTCCGCGGTTACCAGAACAGGACTCAGGCTGGTTTGCCTGAAATCCTCCCATAGTTAAATAACTCACTGTCTAGACTCACACATGAACGGTGACCAGTTGGCTGAAGCACCGCACAGCAGCCAGAATGACAAGTGTGACATGACCATTTCTGCTTGGCGAGTTGATGGGGTCAGATTTTGCTTCGTACAGGTCCAGCTAACCATGGGTCATTGTCGGGGGCATAATTCAGAATAGGAGCTGGGCATTTAAGACAGAGATGAAGATGAATTCCTTCTCTCAGAGGGTGGCAAATCTGTGAATTCTTGTCTGCAGAGGGCTGTTGAGGCTGTGTCATTAAGTATATTTGAGGGTCTGAGGCAGGCAGATTTTTAACCAGGAAAGGAATGAAAGGTTATGTGATAAGGCAGGAAAGTGAAGTTGAGGATTATCAGATCAGCCATGATCTCATTGAATGTTGGAACAGACTCAATGGGTTGAATAGCCTACTTCTGCTCTTATGGTGCAGACCCAGAGAATGGCATTGGGAACTCAGACCCACCTTAATCATTCAATTCCAGTTCATGAGGCAGGAGTTAATAATGAGAATGACCTTTTCCATCCTAATTGAAGGGAAGTAATCCAATGACAGTAAAAAGGAAGGCTGGCAAAAAATGTCAGCATATGACTCAACTGAAAATAAATAAAACCGTCATTGGCCATGGAGTTAATTCAAGTTTATGGTTCTTCCAATTTCCGGATTACTGGGAATGTTGGACCAGGAATGATTCTTCCCCTTTTTATTATTCTTTATTAATTCAAGGGATAAGCGCTGACTTGGCAGCATTTATTGCCCATCCTAATTGCCCACAGTGCAGTTAAGAGTCAACCACATTGCTGTGGGTCTGGAGTCACATGTAGGCCAGACCAGGTGAGGATGGCAGTTTCCTTCCCGAAAGGACATTAGTGAACCAGATGGGTTTTTCCAACAATCGGCAATGGATTCACGGTCATCCAGATATTTATTCCACCATCTACCACGGTGGGATTCAAACCAGAGTCCCCAGAACATTATCTGGGTCTCTGGATTAATAGTCCAGCAATAATATCACCAAGACACTGCCTCCCCCTATTTGATAATCTATGTGTTTTGAGAAACACCTGCATTTTATTTTTGTGTAATGACCATATCAAGACCAAAGTGAAACTGGAGAGTACACTGAAAGAGGATTTAAGGGATGAAGAACTAAGAAGGAAAAAGACAAATAGAAAGCTAACTGCAGAGGGTGGGGTTCCAGAATGCTCAGAATCAGTGTAAGTGGAAGCAGGCAAGAACATCCACGAATGGATCAGTTTTCTGTTTTGGCTGATTAGAATAGATCCTGTTGTTGAATTAGTCCTTTTAAGAAGACTGTATTACTGTGTTTGTGTTATACATTTGGAAAGGATAGACAGCTAAAAACTGGAAGAGCTAAAGATTATGGATTGGACAACATACACTGTTGCTGTTTCGGTGTTGCCAATACCCACTGTACCATTTAAAGGTGGCACAGAAGGAAGCTTGTGGGGAGTATATGCCATGAGGATTGTTGGGACCCGAATCTGAGAGAGCTTGTAGATGTCCACCTTGTTGGTCTGGCAACATCTGACAGAGTGTGGCAGCTGGTGAATATGACTCATTTGTCGAAATTATAGAATGACAAGTGAGAGGCCCTAATAATAGAGGCCAAGTTGGAAACAATGTGAGATAGTGAGTGGAGTCACATCTATTGAGGAGATGTTGCGAGTGCTTGAAACTATTTAAAGTGTATCTTTGTTCCATTGGCTATTTAAAGTGAAACCTGAGTTTTGATTTGAAATATCCTTTGCTGGTTAATCAATATTTGAATTATGTTGACTTTTCTTGGTTTGTGAAATCTTGTCCAGATGGTTTTCTTTTCATTGGCAATATGTGGACTCTTTTCATCTACAAGTCATTGGTCTCTATGGGGATTGTAACATTAGAAAAGCATGACATCTAGTTTCAGAGACAAGAGCTAAATTTATTAACTTTTACCATTAAATGTGGAGAATATTCTTTGGAGAAATTGTTAAGTGATTCTGTCATTTCTGGCAAGTATGGGAATGGCGAACAAAAATAAAGACAATGACTTGTTTCTCAGAGCTCACATGAGGGAAATGTGCATCCCTACAGGTCAGTGTCTGTCACTAACTGCACGAAGATGGGGATCATGGAGAACTCAGCAACAACTTCCATTGATTTCAAGCCCTGCACATAGGCAAACACCCATAAAGTCCTGCACTGATGGGTGTAAAGAAATGGGTGCCACTGCTGGAAGGGAGAGATTAGGAAATATGAGCAAACAGAATGGTTTAGAGGAGTGGGTTTCTCAAATAATGGAGAGAGATCACCGAGGTGGAGGGCGAGGTGTGTTGCAGGGAGTTTTAAAGGATAGGAGCGAGGCAGGTGAAGACTTAGCCACCACTGATGGAGAGCGTGGGGTGAGTAACAATCAAAAAGGGCAGAAAAAAAGCATTTGATAGGTGTTTAAGAAAAATAAGCTTATAAAAGACACCAGTTTATGCAGAACAATAGCTGTTATCTTTTTGGAATACTCAACAAAATTGATGCAGTTTTCTTGAGAGCAGTAATAAAACATTAGCTACCTATCCCCGAGGGGGCATTTAATTGAATATGGGCAGCCTTCAAACTAAACCCTCTTCTCTACTAACCATCCATTCAATGATCTACTGATCTCGCTGAAGGGCAATTGGATCCATAAATAATCATTTACCTCATGGCATTTCCATCAATTGAACTGATCCTGCTGACTATTACAAAGTAAATGATCACACACTGAGGTTTATTTTCAGCAAAAACAGGGTCGGAAGACAATTTTATTTTTCAATGTAACGTTGGATGGTTTCTCTCTTTACACACCTTCTTGTGGTTTCTCCTGGCTCTACTTTCAAAGGAAGGGAACTTGCTGCTTGTCAATTCAGTGTGCCAAAGGACAAACTGACCAGGGAAGAGATGAGACGAGTATAGTACCAAAGGCTGGAAGGTGTCAAATCTCTTCCGAGCTGTATAATTGGAGCCAAAGTACAATTGGGATTGAAAACAATTAAATGGACTCATCAGCTGATTCCTTATCCATGGTTTTTACATAGAACTACAGAGTGATACATCACAGAAGATGGCTATTTGGCCCCTTCTGCACATTCTGGCTCTTTTGAAGGGCTCTACAATTAATCCCAACTTGTGTTCACTCCTCCAATGACAAAAAGGCAAAAATAAATTTAAAGGCTAATATCAAGAAGATTTACTTCACATGAAGATTCAGTCGGAGGGAATAGGTAATTTAAGAATGAACAAGGTGCTGCAATGGTCAATCATTAGGATCCTTCTAGCATTGGTCCGATACTCTGGTTTTTCCTCATCTCAGCATCTGCCTAGAAAGTATTCTCTACAGTCACAACACCGAGTTAAAAAGATGTGGCTCTGTCCTTTGAAAAATTCTTTGGACTGATCACAAGTAAAATCAAGGCAAGGATGAGAATGAGGCATTTACAATCCACTCATGTGCATTCTTTGATTTGCTGGCCAGACCAGCAGTTATTGGCTTGGTGGGGCAGTGGTGTTATTGTGGTAATGTCACTGGGCTAATCATCCAGGACCCCGGTCTAATGTTCAAATCCCACGATGGCAGACAGTGAAATTTAAATTTAATTGTTAAAAATCTAGAATTAAAAAGCAAAGGCAACCATGCATCATCTGTTAATTGTTGTAAAAATCCCCATTCTCACAACCATTGACCCATCACTAATGTCCTTTAGGGAAGGAAATCTGCCATCCTTACCAGGCCAGGCCTGCATGTGACTCCAGACCTACAGCAATGTGGTTAATTCTTAATAGTTGATCATAAAGTTAAGAGTAGCCAATAAATGCTGACCTTTCAAACCTAATTGCCCTTGTGAAGATGGTATGAGCTGCTTTATGGATCTGCTTGAGTCCTTGGGGTTTGGATACAAACACAGTGTTGTTAGGGAGGGAGTTCCAGGATTTCAGTGCATTAATACTGAAGGGACAATGATACAGACATAAGTGCGACTTGGAATGGAATTTCTGGTGATGGTTTTCCCGTGAAACTACTGCCCAACTTCTAATGCACAATAAGTTCATGGATATGGGAGGTGCAGTCTTGGTGAGTTTCTGTAGTGCATCTTATAGATGGCACACATTACTGCCACTGTGTTTCAATGGTGAAAGCACTGGGTGGTAAAGATAAAGGATGGAATGCCGATTGAGTGAGGTCCTGCCCGCCATCTGGACAGTTGGATGTACGGTCCCCGATAGCTGTGACTAAATTTTATGTGACTCAAGTCATGGCTCCCATCCCGTTGAGACAAGACAGCCCACCTCAAAGAGGTGCCAGCCAAATCAGAGGGCCAGCAGTTCCTCAGTGCCAACAGTACCACCAACATCAGTGGTCAATGCTGGAAATGCAGTGAGCCCAGGAGCTCAAGGCATTGAATAAAGGTGGTGGGGAGCAAGGATGGGCTACTCACCAGGGTCTGACAGGCCAGGGCATCAGGGGGCTGGGGAAGGGGTGGTGCCAGTCGTCATCAATGGATGGGGTGTTTTCAGTCCTTGCTGTTTGGATCCCCCACCATAACACATCCCCTAAACAACATGAAGTCACGGGCAAGCCACCAAATCAAAGGGGGTGGGGGGTGGGCTTTTAAAGATTACTATTTGGTCACTTGATTGGCCCAAGACTGAGTCGCATTGAGAGGAATGTTGAGAGGGAGGCGTGTGTGTATCAAACTTCAGACTGAATTAAAATACCCCACTCGTTACAAGGAGTGATGAACATTTAACAGAAACACAATGGACAGAGGGAACTTACATCCTGACCCTCCAGAACCAGAGTAAACACTTTCATCGTCATCATCTGAGCCTGATCCTTCGAGATCTGTTAACGTTGCCAGATCTTGAGTCTGTCGCGATGTGTGGTAGGTCTAGGACGGAAGAGACAAATGAACAACATTAGCACCAAAGAACTGGATTTGACAATCAGCTCAATTCATTGAAAAGGCTAAGGAGCACTGTGCAGTGAGACTCCAATCTGCAATGAGGGAGAAAAAGAACTGGGAAAATAAAAACTATTTTTCTACTTGTATTTTGTACTAACATTTGTTTTAGATTGTTAAGTCACAGAGCTCAGAAGTGAACATAGATCGCTGCACAGCAGCAGATTGGCAGTTCAGATGATGGTGGATTACTCAGTACAAACCATTTCTAACTTTAAACAAAACTTCAGACACCTCTGTTCCCTTCCGCTAACTGCTTGGATGCGGTTGAACATGTTGCAATGGACCAGTTAATTCTTAAAGTTATTTAACAAGTCGACAGGAATCTAAATTCTCCTTGGCCAGTTATCAGTAAATTGGGTCAATTGTGGGTCCACTGTTGAGGTTTGTGTCATAAAAGTGCTAGGTCAGGACTTCCAGAATTTAGACCCAGCAATGCTGAAGCAACAGCATAAATATCCTCAACTGGGTGGTGTATGATCCAGGGAGAACGCTTTTCAGTGAAGTTTTCAGGGGCCTGCTACTCTCCAACTTCCTGGATCTGCCAGTCTGATAGGTGCTGTCAAAATGGTTGATTCATTGACAATTGTAGCATTTCCAGGCAAACAGGCTCTGGGCAGGAGACACCAGCTCCCTTTCTGAAGAGCTGCACATTCAAATCCCCAGCCTCAGTTAACATTCAGGCTCAACCAGTGTGTAACAAGAACTGAGCTGTGCTGTCAGCTGGCACAGTCACTCAGTCTGGGCCTCACCCACTCAGAGGCGAGGAGGAGCTGACAAGAAACAGTTAGACCTTCCAGCAGCATGATCACTTCCCATTAGCCAGTGATACAGCAGCACTTGATGGGTTTGAGAGGGACTTGGCTCAGTGCCAAACTAACTGTTGAAATGATCCAGCTCTTCAAAGCACTCCAGAAGTCTTCTGTGTTGTCACTAGGCTCATTTAACATCATCCTGGCAATGCAGCAAAGGACAGAAGTGCACACAAGCCGTTGTGATTTAATGTCACCACAGTATCACCAGTGACAGCCCCGTATCCACCAGTCCCTCACCCAAGAGTAGAGCTCAAAATACTCCCTGCCATTGTTTTGACAGGGCGATGTATCTAATTGCATTGCTGGGTGTTGTCAGTTGTATCAAACATGATGCAAACATTTCACCCAGCCATTGATGATGGCTTTGGGGATTCTGAGTGAAACTGATTGCAGCTGTGAATGAGGTGAGTACCTTTCTCTGAACACATCCTCCTGACTGATTGGAGACAAGAAAGATGATATCAGATTCTACCTTCCCCACTCCCTCCCCTCTTAAACAAAAAGAGACCATCTAAACTCATGACTTCTGCTGCACAGTTCTTCACAAGTCTGCACAGAACCCTTCAAGTTCTCAATTATGAACTGGCGAACAAACATGTGAATTAGGAACAGAAGCCAAGCACTCAGCTCCTCCAGTCTGCTCCACCACTCAATATGATCTTGGCTGATCTGACTGAAACCTCAAATCTACATTTTTATCGAAAACCAATTGCTTTTCAACCCCCTCCTTATCAAGAATCAATCTATGTTTGCCTTAAAAATATTCAAACACTCTTTTGAGAGAAAAAAAATTCTCCTTACTGTAGTGCACAAGAATTGAAATAAAATGAAATAAAAGTCAGACTTGCACTTATGCAGCACTTTTACAACCACTGGCGATCAGAAAGCACTTTACAGCCAATTACTGGCTTTTGAAATGGCGTCACTATGCGGGCCTTGGTTCAACATTTGATTCAAACCTCTGGCAGCGTCACACTCTTTAATAACCGCGCTTCAGAGTCAGCCTGGAATTTTGCACTTGTTTTTAGATGTGAGCCATAGGAACTGCGTCCAGGGTAAATTCTTAGATATGGGGCAGATGACTGTTTCAATTAATCCCTTATTGCCTCAGCATTATTCGGGGGACAACTGAATGCTGCATTAGATATTCAGCCCCAAACACTGGAAATTCCACCAACTGAGAATAGGCAGAGCTCCCAACCAAGACTACCCTGAAGCTCTCCAAATGGCAATATGAATTAAAGAATGTACATATGAAGGCACATTGGGAATTTTCAACTAAAATAAACAAATCATAAGAGTTGGAATTAGACAGAGTGGACTATATCTCCTAACAAGGGACAAGAAAGTTAAAAGTTTCAACGTAAATGTATTTGCCGCATTAAGTTGCAGTTCAGTCTAATCAAATCCTAAATTATTGGGATGGGTGCATATCCAGTTTGAGCCCTCATTCACTTGAATAATTTACAAGCTTACTGCAGTGGGTCTATTCTTAACCAGGTTGACAGTCTATTCTACACAAATCTTCAGTCTTTGGGATGACTTTGTAAACTGACACCATCATCGAAGACCGAGCTGAACCAATGAAGTTATCTAAAGTAGACTGCTTATGAAATGGCCGAGGAAATAGCACCGCAATGCAGCGGAGTGACCTGGCCAATACTGTTTTGGTGGCCTCAAGGTATTTATTTTGTAACATCAAGTGATGTCTCTTTCCCACGCTGCACAGTAAAATAATCCTCTGAGAATTGTCTCAATAATCAGACAGAAAGAGGACTCTGAAATTGTAGTCAGTTGAGGTTAGACAGTTCTTGTTAAATGCCGTAAGGCTTTAGCAAAACTCCTTCTGGTTTATAGTGTGCTAAACACAGATTTGGACAGAATTAGAGTTGTGGTACGTGATATATGTCTGAACTACATCATACAATTAAAATCTGCTGTGAGAGATTAAAGGGATATCGTCATCAGAAATTTATTGCTTGCTGCCAGATGGTTGTGCCTGTCTTCTATACTAAATTTTACTCAAATTTCTGGATTAAAAGAGCTAGTGAGCATTGATAACATATATTGTCTTTTCATCTCTCCTAATTGCCTGACTTTGTGGGGTACAAACTCTGGGGTGGCATGGTGGGTCAGTGGTCAGCACTGCTGCCTCATAGTGCCAGGACCCTGGGTTCAATTCCACCCTCAGGCAACTATCTGGGTGGAGTTTGCATGTTCTCCCTGTGCCTGCATAGGCTTCCTCCAGGTAATCTGGTTCCCTCCCACAGTCTAATGATGTGCAGGTTAGGTTAGGTCAGGTGGCTGTGCTAAGTTGCCCTGAAGTGTGCAGGCTAGGTAGATTAGTCATGGGAAATGTAGGGTTACAGGGATAGGATGATCTGGCTGGGATGCTCCACAGAGGGTTGGTGTGGATTTGATGGGCTGAATAGCCTGATTCCACACAGTAGGGGGTTCTTTTGAAAAGAAAATATTGACTCTTCACAAACAAGAGGCCATTCAACCCTTCATGCTGGTACTGGCTTTTTGCCTTTCTTTTAAACCCCTTGTGGTTTCTTTTCTTTTCAAGAGGAATCCATCCGGTTTTCTTTTGAAGATTGCGAATAAATCTCTGCTGCTTTTGTCACCCTTTCAGACAGTGCATTCCAAATCACAAAGACTTGCAGCTTATAAACATTTCCTTTCATCTCCTCTCTGCTTCTTTTTGGCAAACATCTTAAATCTGCATTTTCTGAAGAATGGTCCTCTGCCAGTGGATACAGATTCTTCCAATCCAACTCCCCTCAGAATTTTAATCTATTAAATTTTTTCCATAACCTTCGAAGTCCAGAAGAATGTTTGGGTTGGGTGTGGTGCCAGTGGCTCCAACAACTTCCCTCTTTACTTCATCCTCCAGTGTGCAGCATGTTTTTTACCTCGGGGAACCAAATATAATTCCATCCTCATCCAACTCATACTCTGCACTGTTTTGGGGGGAACTGGGTGAGAGAGAAGGTCAACTGTGTTACTAGTGGGAATTGGGAAGACTGACTCCAGCCTCCTGCTCCCCAGGCACAGGGCCTTTATTGGAAGCATTAGATATGCTCATTTGTTCAGCTCTGAGTTTGAAACGGTGTTGTGAATTTACAAAGTCGGCCAAGTGACTGAAGATCTCATGTAAACTGTCAGCCAGGGAAGAATGCACTCCTAGAACATAGAACTGTACAGCACAGGAATGGGCCCTTCAGCCCACAATGTTGTGCCAAATGAAACTAATCCCTTCTGCTTGCCCTTGGTCCATATCCCTCCCTTCCTTTCATATGCATGTGCTTATCTAAAAGTCCCTTAAATAGCCTATTGTGTCTGCCTCGACCACCACCCCTGGTAGTGTATTCCAGACTACTACCGCTCTCTGTATAAAAAACTCACCCCTCATATCTCCTTTGAACTTTCCTGCTCTAACCTTAAATGCATGCCCCCTAGTATTAGACAATTCAACTCTGGGAAAAAGAATCTGACCATCAACCCTATCTATGCATCTCATAATTTTATTGACATCTGTCAAGTCTCCCCTCAGCCACCGCCACTCAGGAGAAAACAACCTGAGTTTTTCCAGCCTCTCCTTATAGCTCATACCCTCTAATCCAGGCAGCATTCTGGTAAACCTTTTCTGCACCCTCTCCAAAGCCTCCACATCCTTCCTGTAATGTGGCGACCAGAATTGAACGCAATACTCTAAGTGTGGCCTAACCAAAGTCTTATAAAGCTGCAACATAACATCCTGACTCTTGTACTCAATTCCCCGACCAATAAAGGCAAGCATGCCATACGCTTTCTTTACCACCTTATCTACTTGCATAACCACTTTCAGGGAGCTATGGACTTGAACCCCAAGATCCTTCTGTACATCAATGCTGTTCAGAGTCCTGCCATTAACTGTATACTTTTCCTTAACATTCGATCTCCCAAAATGCAGCATCTCACACTTAATTGGATAAAATTCCATCTGCCATTTCTCTACCCATATCTGCAACTGGTCTATATCCCTCTGTATCCTTTGACAACCTTCTACACTATCCACAACTTCACCAATCCTTGTATCATCTGCGAACTTACTAACCCAGCTATCTACAT